CCCGCCCGCCGCCGCCTCCCCCTCGGCCCCCGCGCGGCTCCTTGCTGAACCTGGGCGCGAAAAACGTTTCCTCTATCTCGGGGACTTTAATCTCCACCGTGCGAATCGCATGCATTGTCCCCGACCGAAGAGATCGTCAGCTGGAAGATGCACTCTGATCTTCAAAGCTACTGGACCTGCCACGAGAAAAGTTAAACAAAAAAGAAGAAATTTTTACATGGGGAAAAACTGAAGCCGAATTCCAGTTTAGAGGTGCCATCGGGTCACGGCCACATACACAACCCCCTGTCTGCCTCTGCATGGCTGTTCAATAAATATTTGTTGAATGAATGGATTGTTCTGTTTCTTGAATAATTGATCATCTCGTTGAACACTGTTGATGCGCGTGAGCATATGGTTCAGGAAAGGTTACTGCGCATGGTACTGCTTTTATGTTTCACACACAGACCCTGCTTCTCCAGGAGAGCACATTAGCTGTCATTTCTAAAGTTGGGTTATAATTTTTTTTTTTTTTTTTGACAGAAGAAAGAGGTAGGAGAAGTAGAAAATACTGAGATTAGAGTTGATTAAAATGCTAATCTCCAAATTCTATGTGTTTACCATATAAATTAAACAGCATTTGTATTCAAAAAGGGTACATATACGATAATTCCCAGGAGGTCAAACTCATCAATATTAAACATGTCACTATTGTAGCTGCCTATAAAAAGGAAAAAGACAGAAGGGAAACACCCTTGGCACAAACACACAAAATCAGATGTTATGCTATAAACTACCACTTTCCCAAGCAAACCCTTCCAAGCAGACTTCGTCCTGTAAAAGTTTCTTAACATTCTGGCCACAATATTGGGATAAACATTTTTCCTCATTGAACATTTCGTCATTATTTCCATTATTTATTACCTATTTTGTAAGAATTGTTTTATTAAAAAAAATGGATATCTAAAGAAGCTTTAAGCAGTAAACTGAGATTAAAGTGGCATTAGTAAGTTTTACAAGTATTTAAGCAAAAGTTCATTGATAACCACTTTGAAAATATGGAATAGATATCCAACTTATTAATATTTTCAAAGTAACCCAGAGGAGGGAGAAAGGCTATATATTATATTGTCCAACTTAAATGTAACAAGCAAATGTGTAGCCTTCCTTTGCATATTATGAACGAGGCTTTTAAATTTTTAAAAAAAAAAAAAAGATTGGTCCTGTCAGTCTTTGATTACTATCCTTTTTCAAACTATGTTTTTTAAAATAAATGTAATTTAAGGGCAGTTAGCCAGTTATCCTTAGGTGGCCCTTTCAAGTAAATGCTTT